ATAAGATCACTGTATGCTACCTTTAAATACAGGCAAAATAAGAATGCTACGAAAATGGTGAGAAATCCTGAGACTTTTCTGTTGCTTTTTAATACCACTTCAGAACTTTTATTATTATTTGCATGTTTTCATTATGAAGTTATTTCAGGGATAGATAGAGTCAATATTAAGTGCTGTTAATTATTATGTACTTAAATTAATAAAAAATAAACAGCTTTTATTCTCACATTAAAACACTGAAGAAACACCAAACATCAAAATGATGCACAGATGTATAGGTATACATTTGTGGATTTGTGGTGGTGGTGGAGGGGTGCACTTGTCTCCCCCAGTAAAAGTATGAAAGTACCAGAGGACCTTTATTTTGACAAATGTTCAAGCACAGCACCATAAACTGATGAAAAAAAGACACAAATTGGTGCAAACAAATTCACCAGAATGCAGCTAATTTAGTGTTTGATGCCCAAAAATGTTCACACAAAGGAAACAAAACCTACGCCCTTGTACAAATGTGACTATAATTATGACCTTTGTAGCTTCCTTTCTGATCCTGACTATTAGAAAGGAAATCCTCCAGGGTAGGGGTGGTCATCCTGTCCCCAGGTATGCTGTCAGATCTGTGGGACAGTGCAGCAACATGCCCCTGGAAGGCACCCAGGAGTGTCAGCCAGGCCCACCGGACTGCACCTCACCATCATCTATGACTTCAAACCAGATGGTGCGCTGGGAGCACAAAAGAGTGACAGCTGTCATTCACAGAGGAGCTTAACCACTGGTGTGAACTGGACCTAAACTGATTTAATGGTTACAAGTTCCACAAGAGGTGAAACATGAAAATGAATAAACATACATAAAATTTCCTCAAAGTACCCTCAAGATAAAATTTACATTTTTGAAACAATAAAATTTCAGATCATTTTTGGAATTTTTATTTCTTCACATCATGCTGAAGCTGTTAATACTAATGATAATAGCATTTAGCTCCCCTCAACCCCTTGACAAATTGATGGAACTGACAAATTAAATTTCACTGAAATTTCCATCCCGCTCGTCTTTCACTGAATTTAATTGAGTTTAGTTCAACTAATAGCATTTAGTTCAATCCAACTAAAAATTGCATTTCGTGCCATGCAATTGACAAAAGCTGACTGCCTATAGCTGCTGCTATGACAACAATGATGTAACTGAAATGTGTTTTCAGTGTTTTCTGTGACAAAAGTCATAACAGGCAAAAAAAAAGCACACCAACAAAACAACTGATCCAAAATATGAAAAAGTAAATATACCTGACAAAGACTAACACATACAAGAAAAAGTGCTCAAGAAAATAAATCTGTGCAAATGTAAATGTAGCATAATTAAATCTGGGGTATTCACAAAAAAAATTAAGTTTGTATCTTAACATGGATGTATCTGGTTTTACAATTAATCTGCATTTGTTTAAAACACAAGAAACTGTGGACTTCTACCTTAACATGATGCATTTACGTAATCCCATCCAGTCCTCTGAGGTACATCCACACAATAAACAATGATCTTATGTTATTTACACTGTTTCAATATAACTGTGAAATGACTTTTTTTCCCACTTGGAATCTTACTTTTAATGACAACCACAATATTACTGAACACATATCACTGGAGTCACCTGGAAAGCAACACAATACTATAGGATTTTGTTATGGCTGTCGCTTATACATGTTTCAAAAACTGATTAAGAACCATAAGTGAAGTGGGTCAAACTGGACCACATTAGCCATGGCCTCTTAGGAGTCTACTAAAGCCCAAGGCTAACACCAAAATCAGGGTCTGGTTGGTGAAGGACCACTTGTCCCTCTCAATGAACAAGAAACCACTCCACCACTGAAATAGTAGAAGCTGCAGCAGTAATGGTCCCAAATGTTAAGAGAAGCTTCATAGAAACTGGGGGTGAAATCTGTGAATGGTTTGAAACAGTTATCTTCTCAAATAGCTGCTTCAGAAATGATTGCAAAATACTTGTCCTGCTGGATCTGCAATATAAAAGTAAGTTACTTGTAAATAAATTTTTACATACAAAAAAAAGTAGTTTACACAAAGACTTGTTTTGCTTGATCCTAATGATAATCTGATGCAAAAAGTTGCATTGATGTTTTTTAAGTATATCAGTTAAATGAAGCAGAACTTAAGTTGCACTTAAAATATTTGTTGGAGATTAGAATGACAACTTATTTAAGGAGAAGTGAGTGAAATTTATTCATTAAAAATAAGTCATCCAGTTGAAACAACTAAGACACTGTGTTCATAAATATCTTTAAAAATGTGACATCAATGTTGTATTTATACCCACAAAATATGATTTTATATTCACTGTGAGAAGGTGAAATATTCATTATTTTGAAGCACAACAGTGCAACACGAACTCAGTGAGCAATAATAATCTACAACACACTTGAGTCCACTATTACTGCTCATCAACTTATCAAGACTCAATCCGGCGTCTCCACAGTTTATTTTATTGTCATGTGAGATTCTTTCATCCCATAATAATGTGTGTGATCTTCCCTGAACAGTTCTCCTTTCCAAACACCGGCCAGTCAGCGAGCCAGACAAAAAGGTGTTACTGATGACTGTGTCCAGCAATTTAAGCTATTGAGAGCTGCCCCCAATTCACTTTCTTTCTTAACTTTATGGCTATAATTGCCATAAAGCTCCTCCCAAATCCTCCCAGCCCCCATCGGCCTCTCTTGAGGGCTTTGTAACATGTTCAATATTCCCATTGTACTGTACTTTTCTTTTTCTCCCACAAGTGCCTCCATGGCATAGTTTAGTCTTTATTTAATGAAGCTGGGTCAGAGTTCATCATGTTAGTAGTCCTAAAGCTTTGGGTGCAGCATTCAGCCTCTAACACTTCATGTCCAACTTGTACAACTCCTCCTTATGTGCCAAAACAATAAAAACATCCATCAATGTCCTCCCTTGTCTATGTAGAGCGGGTATGACTGATGATGTGTACGGCACATTGATGCACTTGAGGGGCAGGGGACTGTGTGAATGTTTGTTTATGTCAAGTGAGGATTTGTCAAAAGGTTTATGTCATTGCTGGCATCAGTCTCCTCGAGCTTGTACTGGGTGGTCTTTGTCTGTTTGCATCCGTAAAGAGCTTCGTTCTCACTCTCATTTGTCCCCTATTGATTCTCTAAATTAGGTTGATGAGAGGCCCTCCTATCAGGTGGCATATTAATTGGGTCAGGCTGGATCTTATATGACATCCAAATAATGGCAACCCGAACCCCAAGACTAAACCTTTGTCCTCTGAACGCTCTCTTTCACCAATTAGCCTCGTGGTGAATCTGCTCCCTGCCACCTCTGCTGACCGTTACTGTTTTCCAAGAATCACAATGCCACCGGTGGCTTAACTGGTGTGTGAGTGCCTCTCAAGGTGTGAGAGCGACCTGAGGGGAGTTTACACTCTCCAATTTAAATCTTGGTGTGTAGCTGATAAACTGACTCCAATGACTCAGTTTTTAAATTTAAATACTTTTAGGACAACAAAACAAAATGGATTTAAACCTTAATGCACAGTGCTGTAGTGGGAGTTGAAAAGGTGGGTGTGCTACTAGTTAGATGGGTCGGATACCAAGTAGGAAGAGGGTATACTCCTATATATTCCAATGTTTTCTTGGCTGATAGGTGGGTATACTGTAAACGGACAGAATACAAGGTGGGTACACCCTCCACACCCCTGCTTACACAGAGCTGGCTATACCAGCTGTTTGTAAGTTCTAACTTAGCCCCCATAGTTAACGTGAGTATTTACTGTGTGGAGATTTTGCATCACCAGATCAAAATGTATTGTACCACACAAATTAAGTTCTTAAGGAAAAAGTTGTAACAAAATGTTAACACGTTGTAACTCAACTGAGTTGCACCAGCTATTTGTAAATCCATTACTTAATTTGTGCATAAAATTTCAGTAACTGTGTCATTCCTGTTACACCAGCCTTGTCTCTGAGAAATTATGCTCATATACAACTAATTTAAAACAGCACAGTTTTTTAATGGAAATGCAATGCAGAAAGAGCGAATCACGTCTTTTTTAGTTACATAATGAGGGAATATTGCTGATTAACGCACCTGATAAGCTGCAAAAATGTTGATACTAAACATATCAGCAAATGTTTACTCATTAAGGATTTCATTTGTGTTCCACCAAAATAGGAAATCTTGCACTACACTATCCATTACACCAATCAAAGTGCTTTTGTTGCCCAAACCTAACCACAGATGTGAGTCTGGATGTGAACCTGAATTATCTAAATTAGCCTTATTTCTGTGAGTAATCCAGATTGAGTTTGCTAACCATCTGCACATAACAAGTATATGTTTTTTTGCAATCAGACGAACTTTCTTCAAAGTTTAGCTTAACAGTATGTAACTTTAAGAGTGACAAAAAACTGATTAACATCCTGTAACTTCGAAAAACAAGAGTGAATGTTTATGCCCTCCCTACTGCTGCTTTGAGTTCCCTGCCAAAATATTATGTCACTTCCTGAAAATGGTCTTGGAATGGAACTGTAGTCTTTGGAGGAGTAAAAACTACAAACTAACAGGATGTAAAATGACTTCAGGACAGGCCCCCAGGAAGTGCGCCAGACTTTGTGGTCATTTCAACATTGTGGCCAAACTGTGTAACTACAACTTTAGGTCCTTGATGTAACACCATGGAGCCCAAAAATACTTTTTCTTATAGACTTAAATTGGGAATCAGACGTCTCTAAAACAGTGGATACATTTTTGGAGTGTCACAACCAATGCCAAATGTTTCAGTATCATGATTTGATCCATTCAGTCCCATGGCATTTCGACAGTTGCACAATTTATTTTCTTTCCGTTCAAGTTAGAGGAAGGCTAAACCGGCCCCGCCTCCGACACTGTATTCAGTTGTCTGTATCCATGGTGGTGAGCAGGTAGTAAACAGTGGATGTATCAGAGCTTTTAAAAATGAACAACAAATCCCATAAGCTAAATAAATGATTTATTGTACAAAAGAAAAATGACAGTAAATAAACAACAAAAGGCAAAAAATAACAATTGAACAGTTATTCATATGCACAACCATTAAACTACAAAGTTGGGGTGATTTTTTTCTTAAACTACACAAAGAACGGAGGAATGATGGGGGAAAGTGAGAAAAACATGAGAAGCGGTGAACCTGTCCAAAACATCATCATCATCTGGGTAGGTATTTACATAGAGATTTCTTACTCTCATATATTTATATGAAAACACTCTCACACATACCAGTATACAAACACTAAAATTCAAAATGCAACTTCTCAACAAGTCATAGATGTGGGCACAGCTAATTATTTCTTTTGACCACACATTACCAGAGCCGCTACCATCAGTCACTCTGTCAATAACTCAATCTGAACCTGAGAGCAAGGGGACCCTGTGGTTTTCATCTACATTTTTTTTGAGGGGGGGAGGGGGTTCTTATGGGTTATATGTTTGCACAGATTAATCGATGACAAATTAAAAAAAGCAAGTTTTTTTAGGAGGCTAAAGTGAGGTAGACAGACTTTGAAATGCATTGTAATTATATTAATAAATAGATAATTGACCAGTTGAATTATTTCCAACCACTGCCCCTAAACCAGCTTTTTCCTCCCTTTGAAATGTTCTAGCATATTCCTGCGATCACAAAAGTTACAGCACACAACATGTCATCCTCTACTTTGGCTAACAATCCCTGGATACTCCTCCCATTCTTACATGGGTGCTTTCACTTAAAACACACACAAAAGGCAAAAACATGTCTATGCAAGACAGTCGACACATTGTTTAAGTCAAAAGGACGCAGTCTCTCTAACATGGTAACAGATTAAAGTTGGTGGGCGGGCCATTTCCAGTTAAAGCATTCTATTTTCATTGATCCAGACACTTATTATTCACATGACTTATCACCCAAAGTGGGCAAGGAGGCCTTTCAGGCCACTGGTACAGTACGTCCAGGTTCCAGATTGGATAAAAGTGTGTGAGTGTATGGACAGGCCCCCGCTTCAGACAAAAGTCAGGAAAGCATGATGGTATCAAAAGAAGTGATAACCTCTCTAGTTCATGGTTTATCACCAGAAGCTTGAATAGTTTTTTTTCTTAATCCTATACTGTACAAGCTCTCTTGTGCTTAGTAAAACACAAACAACACTTTACCTCCTCACGCCATGAACGTCCCATAGTGCAAAATTTATTGTTGGTAAGGTAGAGTGCCCCAAAAAAGGTTTTTGTACCCCTTTTTTTTTTTTTTTTTTTTTTTTTTTTAAATATATACATATATCATTTATATATAATGTCAGAAGGCTCTTCCTTTATCCAACAGCATAGTGCTTTCGTTTACAACAAAATGATATCTTTGCTTTGACATCCAGGAGACAAAGACAGACTTCAAGCGTTTCTAATCTACTGTGTGTTCAAGCACTAACAATATTTTATGATAATGAGCGGTACGGTTGAGGTGAAGGTGTATGGAACTAAATCAGGGACAAAACTTTTGGTAATTTGAAAAAAAAGTTGTAATTAAACAACAACTTTTACAGGTTAAATATAGTTTTCATTCGGTTCTGGAATTCTTTTATTCATTTTTCAATTTGTTACTTTCATATATATATATTTTGATATTTGAGGTCTTCATTTTTCAGTTACAGTTTTTATGTTTTCAGATGTAGACCTTTTTTTATTTATTAATTATTTTTTTTAATATTCAGAATTTTTGTTTTACTTTCAGATTGTAGTTTTCAGTTTCATATTTTTGGCCTCGATCTGGTGTGTAGGATGTGGCATCATGGCTAGCCTGATAAAGATCTCCCACATACTGTATAGTATTGGTTTGAATACATTGTTGTATTTCTCAAATTTCAAGATCTAAATCTAATTTTCTGTTTCAAAGTTTAGTTTTTCAATAACAATCTCCTTTTTCAAATGATCAAACTTCTGGACCGGAGTTAGCTCCACAGAGGTGGGTGGGGGCATTTCAAAAACCAATCAAATATGCTCTCTAAACTAAAGTCAGTGGTTGAGTTACATTCTCTTGATTTGCACGTGTTAAGTGGTTTGTTGTGATTTATAAAAGCTATTATGTCTGAGTACAGTACTGCAGTTAAAGGATTTTGCATTTTTGTTATCTCTTCTGAAACTAGTCTTGAGAAAAAGTGAATGAACTGGCTCGATAAGATGAAGCTACAGCTCTTTCTAAATTTAAGCAAATTATTTAACACAGATGCAAACACAAGTGTGTAAACTTGTAGTCATAATACTGTAACACTGGTTTGTGCTATTTTCAGCTCACAGCAGAGTGAACATTTGAGCATTATTGTCAGCCTTGTGTGTTTTATTTCAGGGTATGGATTTTGCTCTCTGTTGGTTATTACATGCTCAGTCCCAGGCCTCTTCAAGTTATGAAACAGTGCATTTACTTTGCTGTTTTAAACATTTCATGTAAAAGCTGAGGGTGTTAAAGTGTATTTTCCTTTTGTCACGTAGAAGAAAGAAAATGTGTCAGGTTCTTGTCATCCTGCAGGATCCTGCTCCTCCTCCTCTCCCAGGTGGTGCCGAATGACTTCAGAGTGCATCTACATTACAGTACTTTAGACTTCAGAGTTTTGGGCTTTAGTGTTGAAGTGGAACCTAAATATGTCATATCTACTTTAGTAGAATGGCAGAAATAGCTATACTGACTTTATTTATCCACTTTGAAAAGCGAAGTTAAAATAACACAACCACCTCTCTCCCTTTTCCTTTTCGAGTTTTACAAGACTCCAAATAAAAAAAGATCAAAGTAACTGTGAAAGGTTTCGTAGATACTCGAGAATGTCACACTGGGGTGTTATACATTAATAGAGGGTATAGGTTTGGTTTTGGATCTCCTCAACACTTTACATCTCTAGAGCACATCTCTAAACATCTGTAAACAAGATTTTGGATTTATACTAAGAGTGTATCTTTGTGTATCTTAGTGTATTCTTTCTAATGGTAAACCCCTCTCACGTTAGCATGGGTTTAGTTCTTTTTGTTAAAGTGATGGATTGCAAAAATAATTCTGGTCATGCCCCCTTGCAAACATTTTTTGTGGATCAAATCTCACCCGTAAGTAAGCTTAACTGTGAAATTAAGTATTCCCAAACTCACCTTAGGACTGAAATAGCTTTAAAAATATTGTAAATGCTTATGTCTCCTGTCATCTCAATCCACTCACCTGGACATTTCACAAAGATGCCATTAAAAAAACAAAACAAAAAAACAAAACAACATAAAACTTTAAAAACCCACAAAACTAACACGTACTCTATAACATAGTTTTGTCTCATTTACCATTTTCTGAAGCTGCTCCACATGGACAACCTCTTTAAATCATTCATAATGTACTGTATTTCCATCACTCAGTCCCTTTTTTGATTCATGTTTCATTTATAACTTTTTTTTTTTTTTTACAGTTAGAATCAATTTAATTACTGGAAAAATGGAAACCCAGTGGGTTGATTTTGCAGCCGGGCAAAAGGGAAATCTGGTGCCGAGGAGTGGGTTCTGGTGCCAGGGGAGAGCTCCGTAAGGGTTTTGGGTGGTTCGATGCGATGGTGGCTGTACACAAGTGTGCATCTCCCCTGCAGCCTAAGAGCAGCCACATCTATCCACCACCATCCCTGGGATTTTGCCATGAATGATCTGTTGCTTGTCATTGAAGTAGAGCATGTTAATGGGGGACATCTTGGTTGGGGTACAGCAGGGCCCTGCAGAGCCTCTGGGATTGGCGTGTTGCACCAAATGGGTGTGCGGGTATTTCTGCATGAACATGTACTCGCACTGGCCAGAGCAATAGTTGGCTTTGTATCGTTTGGGGGCAATGATCCAGTCCCAGCCGAATGCCTCGAAATCCACAGTCAGGGGGTAGCGACAGCAACGAGACTCGGTGGAGTGCTCATCGCAGTCTAGGCCGAGGTTTCTCCGAGAGCGTTTGGTCGTCTCAAGAACCTTCACCTCCAGGAACGGCTGCTGGAATCAGGGGGAGAAGGGGCAGGACAGAGAGAAAGAGGTGGTTATAAGAGAACAACAACATACTTGTGCAAACTGTCACTATATCCTGACAGTAGTTCATGTGACAGATAATCTGTGAAAAAATCAGGTTCCTTTGGCTCCTCCTAGTGCTCCTAATGGCATTTGCAAGAATCCATTGTGCCCGAACATAAACAACCAATCAGAGCAGAGGAGTCTCTAACGCATCCGTCAATCACTGCCTATGCACAACAATAGAGTACACAGTGAAGACAAGTAAACAGAAGAAGACCGACAACTTCTGTGAAACTTAAAGCTTGCTGTTCGTCGTTGGTCTTCTTGTGTTAAGTTGTCTTTGTGGTGTACACTGTTGTTGGTAAAAGAGGGATTGCGTGTTTGCAAAGCTTCTCCTGATGACTGAAGGTGGTGAACATAACCAATACCCATTTTTTTTTTACCAAAATTAGTGCGTGTATGCAGGTTTTTTAAACACAGGAAAACCTGCTACAAACAGGTGATAGACCAACCCATTCCCTTTCTGAAGTCATCAAAGACTGCCGCTTGGTCAGTAATTTCTGCGTCAGACACCGTCAATAAAAGCCATCCTTTCATGGCAGTATGATACATTGCCAGGCGGCATCCGTTGCTAATACTGCCAGATGGCGTCAGCTTGAAATGCTGCTGTAACTTAAAGACCTGGAATCAGTGCAGTCAGGACGGGTGGTGGATCAGTTCAACAAACACCGGACTTTCACCCAGGAGCCCTGTGTGTGCTTCCCATATGAATGTTGAGCCAAACCATGATTTTTTCCTAAACGTGCATGCTTTTGTTGGCTTAACCTAACCACGTGTGTTTGTTGCACAAGGAATAAACATAAAAACTTGATGTTTCACTGATGTTGTAAGTTTATTAAAAAAAAAAGGCTGTATGCATCTAACGAGCAGAAACCGTACATTTCTAGTGAAAATGGAAGTGTTTCTTGAAAAGGCACAATTCATGCAACAATCGTAAATTGACACGGCATCCTAGAATGTCAACAACAGGAGCCCCCATGATGACTAGCGTGTCATATGTGTTGTGTGACGAGTTGTGAGTGAGAATATGTTGGATAGACTTTCCTATTGCCAGTAGACTACAGCCGTGTATGCGACGTCACTGACAGCCCGGAAAACAGGTTAGCAAAAAGCAGAGAGCAGCATGGAGGCCTGTGAAAAATCTTATGATGGTTACTTCTTTTATATATTTTATATATCTCTGATTTATTCAACTAATTTGGGACGATGTTTGAGTGCTGCTTGGGCGGAGATGGTATTTTATGGCAGCGTGTCATTGCGTTTTGCTGGTAGAGGGATTTAAATCACCGTGTTCACCTGGGTGTTGTGTTTCCATCAATGCTAATCAAAACCGGAGCCGATTACTACCTGTGTCCACTGCAGAGTCATCTGACCCAGCTGTGAATGCCGATGGCGACCTTTCCCATTACACTGAAAAGCCAGATGTTAGCGGGGGGTTAGCGGGTTTTTTGTGCAGTGGGAAAGGGGCTTAAATAACAGCATACCAAGGGCAAGGGTGTGGTGCCGCATGGGCATGAGCAATGAATGACACTGCGTTAGACACTCTTCCTGGCTCTGATTGGTTGTTTTTGTTCAGGCACAGTGGATTCTTGCAATTCTTCTTACCACTAGGATCACTAGGAGGAGCCAGAGGAACCAGATTTTTTTACAGATTATCTGTCTCATGTACTACTGTCAGGATATAGTGACAGTGTTTACAAAATGACAAAACGTCATTTTCATAAAGGTAACCTACTGAACCTTTAATGTCTTTCAGGGGAGATACGCCTATTTACCCTATTGTCTTTCTGTTTACTAAGGGCCAGAGCCAGGAGGTTAATAGCTTAGCTTCGAATAGAGACTACAAACAGGAGGAAACAGCTAGTGTTGCTCTTTCAAAAGTTTAAAAAAATATGGCCACCAACACCTCTAAAACTAACTAATTAACATGTTGTGTCTTATTGTTGTAATCTGTGCACAAACAGAAGCATAAAATGACAAGTTGTGCTTAAAGGGGGAGTTACGTACTGTAACTTCATGATGAACAACAGTTTATCCATCCACCCAGCCCTTCTGTGTTTCTGCTGGTTACCCAGCAACCTCTTGGCAACGACAAGACTCTGGGAAGTTACAGCTCCCTGCGGTTATTTGCCAAGAAATTGTTGAGTAAGTAAGTCTCCTTAAAACCTCAAAGCGTCCTTTTTATAGTTCTGTTTGTGTTCGGATTAAACAAAACAGATGCCGGTAGGCAGATTGTTTAACAGACTAACAGGCTAACTGTTTTCCCGTTTCAAGTCTTTATGCTAATGCTAAGCCAATCACCAATCACCTCCCAGCCTTAGCTATGTATCTAATGAACAAACATGATAGTTATATTGATTTCGTCATCTCTCGTGTATTTCCCCAAAATAAGGAACTATTCCTTTAATTTCTTAGACTGTTGATGTAAGACTGGTTACAATGCTCCACTTAGACTTAGGTATCACTGTAATCTGTATCTGCAATTTATAGACAGAGTTTATAAAGAGTTCATAGCAATTATTGAAAAAAAATTATTTTTCATTCATGTGTTTCATTTTGGCCCAAACATCCCAAAAGGAGTAGGATTCTCAAAAAATGTTTATTAATGATATTAATAATGGCTGCATCCCATTTAGTTTGACAAGTTCTAGGGCTTTTTTATTGTGCATAATGGCTCACTGCCATTTTCAGTGTAGTTCCACCTGTGCTTTTCCAGCTGTTGCAATTCAGAGGGACTAATGTGAAAATAGGCCTGTTTTGCAAGTAAAGACACAAACACACACACACACACACACACACACACACACACACACACACAATCAATTAACAAGTACACGTATTTTGTGTTGAATCCATGTGTCAACTCACCCACATACTCACAGAAACTGGACTACAAGCTACAAACTGTATCTAATACTTCAGTAGCTCAGCATTAAAGGAGAACACCACCTAAATTAAATATTCCAATATATTATTTCCATGGCCTAGGAAAGTTCATAGCAGCCTGAATTTGTGGAGCCAAAGAATGTTATTATTTTAATACCCAAATGAGCTTTATTCTGTTGTAATGTTCTCAGATCTGAAACAGAAAATGCACCCATGTACTCAAAACATTCCTTTGGATGCTCTCAGTGTCATCTCATTTCCCAATTAATTGTCTGTGAAGCAGCTCCGGACTATACCCTATGACGTCATAAATGTCAGTTTAAGTATTTGAATTTTTGGACTGTCTTAGACCATATGAATAACATGTATGAATTTTGAAAATGGACGTAGTTGCCCTTTAAGTACTTTTGAGACTTGATTGCCAAAGTACAGCTAGAAACTGCTTATGAAACTGCTTGTGCAAAGTGAATTTAAGTGTTCATTACATAGTATTCTGTGATTATGTGTGAGAGACAACATTACAAAACAGAGCAATTTTATGTAAGAATGCAAGTGTATCTGAATAAATGCTAGTCGATGTGGTGATTTCACTGTACTGAAAGAAACAAGATAGTGCTTTTGGTCTTGGCTATGCCTCGTATTTGAAAACATACTTATATCCTGACTGACCCTGACATAATATTTTTGATGCTAGGTTTAACAGGACAGTTCAACCCCAAAATCCATCAATTTCTTCTCTTACCTGTGGTGTTATTTATCAGTCTACATCATTTTGGTGTGAGTTGTCAAGTGTTGGAGATATCAGGTGTATAGATGTCTGTCTTCTCTTCAACATAATAAAAATTCAACAGCAATGTCTCTTTCCAGGATTCAAGACCCCTTTACTCAAGATAATCCACAGACCTTCCAGTATTGGCATCTGCTCATGGACGGGAGGCTCGTGCTCGTGACAGCATGAGATGTAAACATTAATGGCGTCCTCCTTGGCTGAACTGTAATGTTAGCTAGTTCAGTGGCACTAGGTGAGCTAGCAGTAGATACACACTTCCTTTTGTGCAGTGATACAGTTGGTGTATTTCAGTAGAAGGAAAATAGTTACTACATTAAACTGTTCACAGGAAGGTCCGTGAATTATCTTAAATAACCAGGTCATGATTTCTGGAAAGAGACATTGCTGTTGAGCTTCAAGTGTATTTTAAATGTATGTATCTTTTCAGCACTTTGAGCACCACAAGCCGAGTGCCATTGAGTTCCATTATATTTGAGAGAAGGCAACATCTCTACAGCTGATATCTCCGACACTCAGCAAGTCACACCAAAACAATCGAGATTGCTAAAAAACACTACAGGTAAGAAGAAAAATATGTGTTTTTGATTTGAGGGTCAACTGTGCCTTTACCATGAAACATCCTTTACTGTAAAAATTATTTCTGCTTCAGTCTTGATATCCAAAAGATGAAAACAAAGTGGCGATGTCAACTGAGATGTCAGTCAGTAAATTAAAACAAACAAACAAACAAAAGAAAACCAAAGAAGCAAAGTCTTTCAGTTTCAACATGTCAGGCAGCTCTGCTGTGTTATGACTATCTGCTCAACATAGGTAGAAATATTTCCTGGCTAATTCCACCAGTATTTCAATCTGTAACTGTTCAATTTGTATCTGTAGTCCAGATACAAAATCAATTATTTGTGCAACGTTTAAAAAAAGTTACGTAGACAAGACACAGGCAAGATAGACACTGCTATGAAGGCTGTTCTAAATCGACATGTCTTCTCAAAATCACCCAACTTCGTCACTTGTTATTACTTACTATAACAAGTCACTTACTAAAACAGATGTATTGGCATGGCTATGCATCAGTGTGGACCTAAAATGACAGCAGATTCAAGTGGATATGTTTGTCTTCAGTGACTGGTTGGGGAAAATCAAATCCTCCTCCCCCACAGAGTGAACACAATGTGAGACTGAAGATTGGAACTGCGTGTAACAAGCTGACTATTCTGTCTGATATCAGGTAAGTTCTCATGCACTGTTTGTACTTCTGCCGACGCAAAGTAACACTATAAAGTTCATGCATATTTCACTTAATCATGAGCCAGTAATTTGTGCGTAACCCATGTATTTGGGAAGGCTGCTATGACGTGACCAATGCGCTGAGGGGAGTAAAGAAGGAAGTGGTCCCAGGAGGAAGAGTCGGGTGAATGATGGGTCACAAAACACAGACTTCCCACCAGGACCTTCCCCTGGAGAGTGCTGTTCAGAACCTTGTGAACTTTGAATGAACTCTGAGTCATTTTAAGGTACGTCCTCACCATGTTTCTTTTCCTAAACCTAAGATCCACCAGCATCTCACCTTATATGACATTGGTTAAACAAAGAGTTACTGTATGATTTAGTTTAGCATTACGAACAGTTGCTAATGGCTGCCAGTTTTTTCTAAGATCAACACTTGGATGACCTGAAAGGTGGCGAAAGTGCAAAGAAAAATAGGAAATGCTTAAAATCAAAAACCTACTTATCTGATATTTCATGAAAACATATGAATTTATTTGTCATTTTTAAAGAAGGAGCACAACGTGCCATTTGAGCAGCGATTCACACACTTTACTTTTCTAACACTGATGGCTGACTTGGTATACTTGGTTTGATGCGTGACCCAGGAGGTCATCTGTAGGCTGCCATAAATTTGACCTTTGGGCAAAGCAAGCGGATCAAATATTTTACTCCATCATGTTTGTTTTACAAAGCCTTCCTCTCCCCACAGTGATTCCAGCTGGGCTCCAGCACAGTTTTTTGTGACGCATTCAAAAGAGGAAATAAGCTGAAAGGCCGTTGGGGTGAGACCATGTCAGCTTGGCCTTTAGGGCTTTTGTTGCAGAAAAAAAGACCCAGAGGATCAGGGAGAAGCAGAGTTTGACTTTTTCCTTGCTTGTTGTGTTTTGTTTTATTTTGGTACGCTTGCCTGTGTTTTTGATCTTTTCCTTTTTTTCCAGTCAAGAATAATATTGCACACTGCTGTGTGCTCAGAGGGCAGAGATTTATTGGCCAAGACACCAGAGCTGACCTCTGATATGTGTTGTGAAGATCTGACCCAAATGACCACTTAGTAAATATTTGGTGTTGCTTAATGGGGACAAGTGGCCTACATAATTCACATAGATGTTGTATGTAACTGTCAGTCGCAGTAACTCTGGGATTTCTAACTAGATTAATGATTCACGGATGGTTTTGCTTTAAGACTGAAGTTTGAACTCATCCGTGTAAACCCACCCATTACAGTGGATATAAACCTAGTATATCAAAGTAAAAACATATATTAAAAAAAACTGTTCTCAGGGTTTGAGGCCCAGGAGCATCCTCTCAACATGAGGCTAAAGAAATGCCCATACTATTCAGAGGAACATTAGTTTATGATCTATTCACATTTTGCAAAAAGTATATACATTACATTTAGGATTAAAGGGAAAAATTAAAGGAATACTTCACCCACAAAATAATATTTTTTTTATCAGTTACTTGCCATGTGTTTCTTGCACGCCTCCTCAGTGGTCAAAGAATCCAAAAACTGAGAAAATTCTTAATGAACTGGAGTAAAAGGGGGCCATTTAACAACAGCATAACTACATCAGAGCATCTGTTTACAAACTCACACAACTCGTGCAGTATAATCCAAGTCTCATTTATCCAGTCGTATGCTCAGTACTTCCCAAACACACGCATTTTAATGAAACATTATTATTTAAAACACTTATACATCAACAATCTCACACACCGATGAAAAGCGCACCTGGGGCAAGCGCATGTGTTTAACCTTTGCTCAATAGAATGCACGAGCGGAGTTCAATCACATGTTTGCTTAAGTGTTTTAAATAGTAAGGTTTTACCTAAAATGCATGTTTGGGAAGTACTGAGCATACGACTGGAGAAATGAAACTTTGATTATACTGCACAAGATTTGTGAGTTTGGAAACAGATGTTTTGTCATAGTTTTGTTATTGTTAAACACGGCTCCCCTTTTACTCCAGTTCAGAAAGAATCTTTTTCTGTTTTTGGATTTTTCAGTCATCGTGGAGGAATGCGTAAAATTTTTTTACTTTTATTGTAACACGAAGTCAGTAAGTGATATACAAATTATCATTTTGAGGATGAAGTGTTCCTTTAAGAACATGTGAATGGTGAACGCTGATCTAAACAAGGCAGCTGTGTTCTCCCTGGACTGAACTAAATATAGAGTGGTCACGACTGAAACGTTCAGATAGCAAGTGGTGACGTATTTAGGTTCCAAAATCTAGGATGATACAATAAACTTTCCATTTTAAGATGTAGTCTATGTCTTGTTTTTTTTCAAATTCACCATTTGGGGATATGGATATCACTGAAGTACAGAATTATCAACACTTTTGACACAGAGTACAGCTCTTCCTACAACAAGCTAAAGGTTTGACTTTTGAAGGCATGCACACTCGAAAGTAACAGAAATGGGGGTTTTGGAGTCCAGCCTTTAACAGATGCCTGCCGTTTCATGCCTGCAGTCCTTTCTGTGTGGAGATTTACAGTCAGTGTCTTTAGCTAACATAACAAACCCATGTGTGTTTTTGAGGTGAACCTGTGACATAAGTCAGAGGGAAGCTGCTCTCCCAACAGTGTGAGTTTGTGATTTAGGCTGCTGGAGTGAAGTCAGCTTTACAAAAACATTGTAACCGCTGCAGGTTTGTGTGAGACCATCGTGCTTTTTCAGAAGTGTAGCTGCTTTAGCTGTGGCTCAAAACATGGATTTTGAGGTCAGTCTGGTGCACACTGAATATCCTATCACTATCAATATCAACAATATATTGTAGTATTTGCTATTTTTTTAGTATTTCTGATGCAGACTGATGCGACATGATACAACCCTGTTCTTTTTGTGGTGCTCATACAGTATCTCATCCATTGAGAATTTGTTTCCCTCCTGTGCAGCTTCTGGACAACTTACAGATGCTGAAAACTCGCTTAAAGGGACAGTCCACCCCAAAATCAAAAATATATATTTCTCCTCTTACCCGTAGTGCTATTTATCAGTCTAGATTGTTTTGGTGTGAGTTGCTGAATATTGGGGATATCAGCTGTAGAGATGTTTGGCTTCCCTCCAGTATAATGGAACTAGATGGCACTAGGTTTGTGGTACTCAAAGAGCCAAAAACCTGCTTTTGAAAAACTCAACAGCAATGTCTCTTTCCCGAAATCACGACCCAGTTACTAAAGATAATCCACAGACCTTGTTGTGAGCAGGTTCATGTAGGTACTATTTTCTTTCTATCAAACTTATGAGAATCACAAGCCAAGTGACATCTAGTTCCATTATACTAGAGAGATGGCAGACATTTCTATCACACCAAAACAATCTAGACTGATAAATAGCACTACAGGTAAAAGGAGAAACATGTAGTTTTGATTCGAGGTGAACTGTCCCTTTAAGATGAACGATTCCTTACTGTGAAAATAATTTGGGCTTCAATCTTTGTAAAGGCTCTGTGTGTGTGGATGTAAAACAGGTTTTAGAATCTGATGTTCACTGTAATACTTAACATGACACATGCAAGTCTGAAGTCTGTGCAAGCTAATTATTGAAATTAAATAAGCAGTGGCTGCCCATAAGGTAGAAAAACAGTATTCAGAAATCTAAAACACAGTAGCACACTTTAACTACTTATAATGGCTGGAAACTTTTTAAAATCTGAGTGATATAAAGCATAAAGGATGGAAGACAAATATTGCAGGGCAATGTCAAATGTCATAACTAGCTTGACAAGACAAAGCCTTCAGTATAGGAGCCTGTATTTGATCCTCCCTAGAAAGGGACTGCTCACCATTTTGTGTAAATATTTAACTCCCAAACTTTTCTATTTTAAGTTTTTAGTTTTAGTTGACAGCAGAGGTTCACAGAAAAGATGCAGAGAGAGAGAGAAAGGAGGATGATATGCTGGATGACATCAGTGCCATCTTTCTGTTTTTCAGTGACTATAAGTCAATTTTAGTGCAGTGATCAATACACATCCACATTTCTCTTTGAATATTGTTTTTTACTCTGACATGATTTTGGCTGACCTCCTTAAAATCTGGATTTATGTTTGCATAAATCTGAGCTATGAGAGAAGTGTTCCCACCCTGCCCCAAGGACAGGTCTGAGGGTCCTTACCAGTCCCTCCTCCCCGGGTCGCAGCGAGGTAACTGCCAGGTCATTGCCGCTCTCATCAAAGGCATTGATATCGATTCCCCAGTTGGTGTGGGGCTGTTTAAACCAGTTCTGCAGCACATGCTTAAAGTCAATACTTTGCCAGTGGCCGACCCTGGAGTTGAGCTCTATCTTGAGGGAGCGGATGCGGATGTGGCGGCTGCCCTGCTCCGTGACGGGCTTCAGCCGGAGGATCTGCAGGTAGACGGTGGAGGTCTGCTGCAGCGGCCGCAGGTACACCCACAGCTGGGCCTTCAGCACCTTGGTGAACATCAGTTTGGGGCTGAACTTGAAGAAGCAGCAACTCGGCTTCCCGTTCACCTGCACCAGGGGCTCCGCTGTGGAAAAGAGGGCATCATCATCATTCAGATAGTAGTGAACACTGTTCCTGGTACATGTCCAGAAACAACGATCAACAAAAGGCATAAAAAGGCCCCCCAGAAATATATATACAGTATTATATCATAGCATTTTGCACACATTTTGTAATGTGTGTGCCAAAATACATTTTATTGCAACAGTTTTTTTTAGTTCGGCTTCATCTTTGGTGATAAACATCACAGCAACTCCGATTTTCCCAGTTTTCTTTGCTCTGCAGGCAGTGCTCTTTTCTGTTCGTGCATCACTGGCCCCAAACACATCACTTCCTGTGCATCAGAGGGGTTATTATCAAAAAAGGTCAGACCAAAACACAGTATTTGGAACAGCAAATGCATAATCTTTGATTAACTCAACATAGGTTCCACTGTTTGAAACCATGGAATGAAAAATACCCTGGGTCTGACTGATGGGTTCAGAAATATGTATTTAAGCTGACCAGCACACATAAAACAGACATGGCTGCATCCACGCTCAGTCATTCACCAAAGAAACAAACGACTCTCTTCATTTATGATTCGTTAATAATTTCAATCATACCCAGCCAGACAACTGAAAGGCATCCTCTCTGACAGAGCCAAGCAAAGACTTTTCATAATAAAGGAGAATTTAGGAAGGGGCACAAAGAGTCCACAACATTTTCAAGTTCCAGTTCAGCTTGTTTATTATTATCATGTGTGGAATAACAGGCTCACACCAACAATGCTCAGGCATGCTGTGCAGGACTCATACAAAAGAAATCCCTCTCAATCATCACTGATGAACTAGAAGTGTGTGACAGTGTATTTTCTGCAGAGACTTTGCCCTCTGCCTGTATTTTATTTTCTTCTTAATTTGCTGTGTTCAGACGCTCCTGGGCAGGTGACGTTGGGACTTTATAAAAAGGTAGTGAGCAGGTGCCAGACTGTGAGAAGCACGAGGAGGCTACCAACATCACAGATACAGCGCTGAAAAAAATGCAAAGAAAAACGCCAAGCAGATACAGCTCGTTATAAAACAAGAGTGAATCTGGTGTTTGCTTTCACTTTTACTTTTGCTGGTGATACTGTGCAGCAGTTGACAATTTCTGCATAGTTCACCTTTAAATATCTATAAAAAAAAACCAAAATAACGCAAGTAAAAGTCAAATCTGAGTGTGTAAGTTAGGACATTTTAACACCCGACTTCTCTGTGTTTACTTTGATTTAATCCATCACCAAACATTTTAAACTACATAACCCACACCAAAATGATGTTAAGCTGCTAACAGGAGCACTTTTTAATTGTTTAGGGATGATAGGATAGGAAGTACAATGTTTGTTATTAAAGCAATTTCTTCAATGACACAACAAGTCTATTTAAAGAAGTATTTCACTGCTGGATGTGGTCCTTCCATTAAACTGGGCTGTCTATGCTGTGATAAAGGGCTGTGGCATTTGCTTTTGCTCAAGAGGTAGAAAAGCTGCAACTATGAGAATGCTCTATGCTGCACCAGACAAATAAACATTCCCACTGGTGGTTGACTTAATGCAAATTTCCAGTCCGAAAACAATATGGTGTCCGTCTGGTGACAAACAATCTTGAATAATAGTTAAACAGTAAGTTAAAATATGTTTCTGAAGACATTTTAAGCAAGAAATAGGCAACACAGTAACATAATCTTAGTCCATATTTCATTAGCACAGCTTAGTTTTACTGTTTGAGTTGAGTTTGAGAGACAGGGAGTAATAGAGGCATATTTCCCTCTTGATCTGCTTCTATACTCTTTTTATCCTAATGCAGGAGCACAATCTGTAGTTCGAGCAACAGCCCTGGATTTAAGCTGACAGATGAGCAGGGATATCTGGGCGCTGTCAAGATGGAAGGAAGTTTACCACAGTTCATTTACACATACTACCCACACTCACACATGATACAAAGCTGGTAGAAAATCAGCAAAGTGTTCCTTTTGATCATCCACGCCTGACAAAGAGACAAACGCTGTACTTTTCCTAATGTATTAAATAAGAAATTTTAAAGAATAATATATAACAGCTGCAGTTTTTTGGATTCAGCACCTTGACAAGAGAAATGTGCACGTGTTCTACACACTGATCTGAAAGCCAGAGACTACTGTACCACAGAACTACACGTCACTCAGAAGGGATAACGTGTTTGTGTAACTCCAGCTCAGTAATACACCACTGTTGTAAACTTTATGCAATAACAGTGGTACGATATATACGTTTTTTTGTTGTGGTGAGTATTAGTTAGATCTTAAAACTTAAAGGTCTAGTGCGTAAGGTTTACTGGCATCTGGCAGTGATGCTGCAGACTGCAATCAAATGAAACTTCTCCCATGTGCCAGGCATGCAGGAGAGCTACGATGGCCAATGCCAAAACACAAATGGCCCTATCTGGAGCCAGTGTTTGGTTTGTCCAGTCTGGGCTACAGTAAAACATACATGGTGGACTCCCAGTCCGTTGTCATTCCCAACTTATCCAATAACATTGCTTTGTCACTGATTTTGGCGTCATATACCAACACAAAAAGGGACCTTTTGTGGTTGTATATGACGCTGTCAGTTTGTAAAGCCGCTGGCGACTGCGTAAAATGAAGAGCTGGAAAGTCTCTATGGGGCGGGCAGGAGTGGGGGTGGATGGGTCCAACAAACCCTGGACTTTCACTTGGGAGTCTGCTGTATTCGCGGTCTCCAAAGTTTTTTTCTAAACCAAGCCACATGCTTTTATTGCCCAGACTTTACCATGTGGTTTTGTTGCACAAGGAAATAAATGTAAAAACTTACATTGTAAGTTTATTTTGAAGAGAAAAAAAAGTATGTATCCAACAAGCAGAAACTGTTTTCCTGTGAAAACAGAAGTGTATTTTGAAAAGACAGAATGCATGTAACAAGTGTAAATACACACGCTATCCCGGCATGTCAACAACAGATGCAAGAGGTTACTTAGTACGTCATATTTAGACATGAAAGTCCACTGACAAAGCAGCGATATTTGACACATTAGGATGAGAACACTTTGGGACTTTGTAGAATAGGATCCTCTCCCTGTGTAGATACGTATAAACTGATCATTGTAAGGTAACAAAAACACAAGAATCTTTATTTTCAGGTGATTATACGCTAAAGAAAACACTGCTATGAATCTTATATTCCACTTCTGCCCTTATATCCCCCTAAATCCTACACACTGGACTCTGATGTTGAGTTTGAGTCCATGTCATTAACCCCCCCAAAAAGTAAAATCTTAACCCAGACAGGATAATCAGTATCTGTCATACCATGTAAAATGGGAGTCCCTACACTGAATCTGAACACTGCTTTTTTTTGTGTGTGTGGGTGTGGCTAAGCGGACTGCCATTCTCTGTCCAACTGCAGATTTTAGCCACATGTGCATGAAAGCTGTCCGTTATCACATGTGCACATGGTCCTGTTGTTCGGTCCATTCAGTCAGGTTACATTTGTGATTACATCAAGGTTGGAAAAACAGATATATTTGCATATTAAAACAAGGATCAGTAATGGTGGCCAGTGGCCAGATGGTAACCTTAGATTCCCCTGGGTCAATCGTAATGAAATGGTCTACCCCTACATTACAACTAGCAAAAACTGAAGCAAGTTTATTTTAGCGACGGCTCGCCCTTGTTGAAAATATATTTGGGGAGTGGATTAAGGGTTATGTCAAAGAACACATGGCGTCTCTTAAAATAGGCAGATTTATTCCTGTCGTGATCCCCGGCTCTGGTGTTTCTGTGATTTGCACCACATGTCAAATCTGCTCATGGTTCATTTACATAGACCTCCATCTGATATAATGACATCCATCCATTGCATTCATACATTCATTTCCATGTAAAGCGTTCATTTATTAAGGGAAATTTATTCTGCATCTATCTGGCATAATAATGTGCCAACTGAGTACAATAGAATATCTAATCTGCCCATTTTCTATTGAGCATATTTGATGTATTACAACTCCAGATTTTTTGCAAATAAACTGCTGTTTTCTGTTATTCATCTCACAGAGGAGCGTTGTTGTTCCTTCGTTTGAAAAAAAAAAAAAAAAAAGAAGCAGATAAAAAACTAAAAAAAAAAAAAAACAGTTCGGAGCTGTCAATCATTGCTAAATCTGAGGTTGCTCAGGCAACCTGCAAATGCTTCCTGGGTCAAAAGGTTATTTGGCACCTCAGCCTAGTTAAGAAATGGGATCAGGGGTCAAAACCGTCAGCCTCTTTACATCTCAGGGGTGCTGGGGAGGGGCAGCCCTAATAGCCAGATTGAGTTTGAAGGTCAAGGTCGACCCCATGGCAATGGTAATATGTCTTTCTTCACCACACGCCTTTTTAAAAAAAAAAAAGAAAAGAAAAAGAAAAACAACAGAGAATCATCTAAAATCTCTGCAACACAACAGTGCTGAATCAGCCACAGTTTGTTTTTGTTTTGATTAGGGTGGAGATTCTCCAGCCAATAGTGAATTGTTTATCAAACCACAATTGACGAGGAGAGAACAGTGCACCAGGCTGTTTTGTTTAGTTTTTTTTTACACTAAACAAGTCTTGTAATTGAATTATGGGCATGCATTGAGGGATATGAATTCACCGAGGTACAGATGGACTATCCATTAGAAGAGTCCAGGGCGAACATTGAATAAGGGCCAAGCCGGGGACAGACGTGGTCCTTCAGCCTGTATTTCCAGGGACAGTCATTAGCGAGTGTAAATTATACAGTGTCTCACGCTGGACAAACAATATGTCAATGTTCCTTTTGGTGGGTTGCTGGGGTCACAGCAATTAACGTGGGTAGTGTTGTGTTTGCTCATCAGCACAAAACCGGGAATGAATGATTCTGCAGTTTGCTTGGGGTTTACTTGTGATTACTACTTTTTGTTGTTTTTAATCGCTGCAGATGGGGACCGACACACACCGGCTCTTCCTTTGCAAACAGTTTTAATCGCTTTTGTTGGGAAGAAAAAAAAACAAACA